AGCATGGAGCCTAAAGTCCGCCTTAAACCTATTGTTCAACTAAACATTTTAAAGCACAAAACAGAATGCAAAGATGATTAGATTAGTAAAAAGACGCCACATAATGTAATTGTGCAACCATTCTAGAGGAACAATTGTGCAAAATATTGGCTATCTTCCCACCCGGGAGAATTGCTGCCATGGCTTGTTATACCTAATTTTAAAGCTGATTCTTATAATTATGACGCAATGAACCAAAAACTCATTTTTTTGGTTTTATATAAGGATACAAAACCCAACCATCGTTACCCAGGTCTGTTTCAACCCAAGCATACTCATTATGTTCATAAAATAGCTACCAAAATGGCTACCACAAATGTAATATGGTAAATACAAAATAATAGATGCAAAGATAAACAAACATTCCACAGAGAACATACTGGACACTGAATACTGAGCCTGTTCCCACCAACATTAAGGCATTTAATATGTTATCAACTCTAAAAATATAAAAATTTCTATCAATTGCATTAGCATTAGCACCAACCACCTGTTTATTTGTGTAATGAAGTACACCTGGGCTGCCTATAAACTTTGAAATGTGGTAATTTCTGTGATCATTTCTTCACCCCCTCACACACACTTTGACAGGCAACAGAAGTGCATTAGAGCTGAGCGTGGTTCTCTCTGGTCTTCTGCAGTGATCTTATCCCCAGAGGCAGAACAGGGCAGCGAGCATCCGCAATCACTCAACCAAATGACAGGACAGTGGATAAGTCCCGCCCTCCCGGTTCAAAGACTGAACATGAGTGTAACCACAAGAGAAAGTCCCCCCACAGGAAGACACCCTCTAATATTCAACAGTTTTGCCCCAAACTTTAGCTGAATTAGAGTTATCACAGTTCAATGTTGAAGGTTTATTGAGAAAAAAAGATTAAATTGCTTTTCAATTAACTGAAACAAAATAAAATGTATTTATTCATTTGTTTATTTGACAGGGACATTGCATAACAAATGTATTGTTCAGACTGAACAGGTTTATAGTGTGCAAAGAAATCTAGGCATAGAAAAATAGACACTATTCTTGCATCTAATCACCATTAAAATAGATTCAAATCAATCAGAATTACTCGTTACTAGACAAATGATCTATTACCATTTGAATGCTTTAGATAGACCTCAAATTCCTTAAAACACTGAATTAAATGTTAGGTTTGTTGCTTTGTGTATAGAGATGGTACAATGCCAAGTTAATCTAAACACATTAAAAAAGTAATATGATATATAATAAATAATTAGAAATACATTAAATAAAATGTCCACTCATATAGGCCTAATGGTACTCAGCCTGTCATTCACGGGCTACAATCACTTCACGTTGGCCTAATGGAGTCTACTCGTGGTGCACAGAGGGCTCTTGAATCTGCCAAGCACACATACAGTACATGGGCAAACAGTCCATATTAACTGCGCAAGGGCTAGTCCACCAAAGACCAATGGTTTCAAATAATATGTCATCAAACTCTTTATTCATGAGTGCGCTGTCATCTGGTGTCTCTCGCACTTGACTGCATTGACATTGACCCCATTCTAATCGTATTAAGTGATGCATATATATACATAATGGAGACTGGAGACATCTGAAATTTCATTGCTGCATGCCAATGTCACGAATATTGATAGATCACGTGACACTTTTTCAGTTGCCATTGCCAAAAGGTTGTCAATGGGCACCACAGCTAGTAAGTAAATGGCAAAGTGGCACGCTCTCTGCCAAAACAATTTCCAAGTGGTAACTTTTATTTGTTACTTACGTGGCAATAAAAATGATTCTGATTCTGATTTCGAACTTATATTTATCATACAGCAGAAGAAAACAAACAAGATACAGACGTTTGATTTGAAAAATACAGTTTGAAAAGGGGTTGGATGAAGCAAAAGTGTAGTAGGCTCCAACCCCCCCTCGTTCACACAACCCAGTAAAGCAGTAAACCACATCAACTGCACGTGGTAAAGTCAGGTCTGTAGTGAATGAGATCTGCTCTTATTTGTGCTGTTTTGCGGGATCATCATCTTAGATCTTAGCTATTCACTTAGTGCAAAGTAAGTTTTAGTAAGTTTTTATTTATATACCGCCTTTTCACTGCAGATCTGAGTCTCAAAGCGGTTTACAATTGTTATTATTTTTAGGGCATTTGTCCTCTCACTCCACACAGAGATGGGAGCGGGGTCGCCAGTACAGGAGGCGCATGCTAGCAAATATAGCACGACAATGTGATCACATGCCTCGCTCATGCTACTGAAACTTGACTTGCGTCGAGACAGAGTTTCACACGGACTGCTCAGAACGCACTTCTCTGTATCCGCTTTCACCGTGATTTGCGGCACTCAATATTTCAGCCATACAGTCACGGACAAAAAAGGCATTTCTGAATTGCTGTGTCACTTGCAGAGGTCTGTGCATTTATCCAGTGTGCAGGCTTTGACATGTTGAGGGGAGAAAAAAAGAAAAGACATTTGCAGTCACACCCCAACAATCTTGTGGAAGCAGTGAGTGGGGCGTTCATTTTGGTTTTTGACAACCCTGTGATGGTTAACCACCTGTCAGATTCCTGCCTTAACAGCCATGACAGGCCCGGCACAGAGAAATTGGAGACGCCGCGATCGCTCCTCTCTGGTCTGCACTAGCCTCAGATTATACTATGAATTGGTTTTTGCTTCAGCAGGAGGTCACCATATGACTGCGTCTCCATTGAAATGTGTATTGTTTGATTCACATTGAGCCACCTCTTCTCCTTGTGCCCTTCCTCTGTGTCTATGCCCACACCAGCCTGCTGAGGAAGAGCCCTCCAGCTAATTAGAGGCTAGCCTGTGGAATTTCACCACGACAAAGAGGGGTATTCATTTCGGTGGGTCGGTGAATGGGCCTGGTTGGCATGTGGTGAAAGCATTTTTCTAAAGAGTTTGCAAAAAACGATGAGACTTGTCTTTGAAGAGTGTCTTCCTCTCACAAGACACAATATCATTCTTCCCGCCAACGCCTCTGCTCGTGTTTGGCCATATTTCATCCAGCGTGTCTTTGTGGGAGGGAGATCTGAGCTGCCCTCTGTCACTGGCTGTGGATGCAGGGGCTAAACATGTTGACCTCCACCGACAATGTGTTATCGCCTGCTCTCCCAGGACATGGAAAGCTTTCGTGCACACAAACCTGAAGATTAACCATTTCGCGTCAGCCTTTATAGTTCTTACCCAAACACAGGAGGGACCTCTGAACCTATAGCTCCACATTTAAGGTACATCCAGTTCTTACATTTATCAACATAATTACCTCCTATCCGTCTCCTCTATGGGTCCTGCTCCCGTGTCCTGCCTCAGAAGGTGATTTTTTTGTCCGGGTTGACAAAGAGGTCATTTGTCTTACATTCCGGTCTGGGCAGTGCGGCCGCTTCATGTCTGGAGCCTACGTTGATTTTTTGATCTCCACAATCACATCAAACATCCCCAAATTTCCGCAATGCATCCCCATACAGTGTACATCCTTCCTGGACGTCCTGTTCGAGAAAGATCTGAAAGATCTTGTTGATCTGAAATACTCTACGGTTTAGGTGTGTTGCCTCAATGTCAAATGGGTCAAAATAAAGATAATAGTCGCACATAATTTGGGATTCACTTTTTTGTAGTTTTAATGTCTGGTCCCACATCCAAAAGCTTGTCTGATGTCAGTTTCTGAATTTGTCCATTGTACTTAGAATCTTACCACTTATACTCTGTTATCCCTCTATACTTTAACTTGATTTTGACATAGGTTTGTATTTTATGTTCGACTTTATTTGATCAAATACAGTGGTTCCTGGGGCCTTATAAGTGTCATGGAAAGTCATTAAACGCCACGAAACAAAGAAAGACAAGAGAAAATGAGAATACGGGTTTCCGAAGAACCATAAAGGTTCGAGTCAGTTATAGAGAACTGATGAAAAATGGCCAGTGCAGTAATAGAAACGATTGGAGGAGTCAACATGAGAAATAGGACAAAGGGGAACTGGCTGCAGAGGAGTATCGACTGTCCGAGTTGGCCGGAGCAGTGCTGGCCAGTACATGAGCGAAGCAGTTCATCTATGGGTTCAGAAACAGGAAAATAACGGTGGCTACTTTAGGGTTACAAGATTAAAAGAGAGGGTCGGGTGTTTTGTTTAAAATATCTATAATTGCAAGGCATGATTGCCAAAAGTATCACAAAGTATCACTAATCAGACTAAAATCAATAATAAATATAATATGTAAACTAGATTTTCATGTCAGTAAGTATCAATACTGAAAAAAGAACACAAACAAGATCAAATGTGAGATTCTCTGAGCAGTTTTTGAATGATTTGATCTAAATCTGAACGTGTAAACAGGAGTCTCCAACTCTTTTCCCTAACCTTGAACTACTCAAACAGTACATGCCTGTGCAAAATCTATTCAGTCAAAGTGCATTTACAGTAACAGTAAACATGAGAATCATATCATCTGTTGTATTCATTATTTTCTCATTTCGGTAAAAAAATGCAGCTCCATTTCCAAAGAAAAAGTGCTCCTGTGGGGTTAGCTTTGCGGCGTAACAAGGGTAGAAGTGTTGCTAACGTGGTTGCTACGGCAAGCTGGAGTTTCCCCCGCTAATGAAGACATCCGATGGATCAATCCTTACATGGCTCTAATCTCGATTTTGCAAAGGCAACAAAATAAAAACAACAGGATCTTAGAGAGACACAATCGGTTACTGAGCGAGAGGAGTTTACAAGAGCAATTTTTGTCCATGATCCTTTTTCTGTTAAGCTACGAGGTTAGCATTGTCCATATACAGTATATATACAGTACAGTCTATGATTACCCATTACACCAATACAATTACCAACACCGCCCATTTGTTGTCATCACCATCCATGCTCTTTGAAATCACGGTATTCATTTCCATATGCTTCCTATATTCCCCAAACAGCTACAATAACATCTTCTGATTTTTGTGTTGTTTTTGTTTGCAGGCGGAGACGAGGCAGGCTGGCAACTCAACAACGCATGCGGTGGGGGCTGTGGAAATCATTAAGTGCACGGCAAGCTCATACAATATGACAGGTACGCGCACAAGACTGAGAATACGCTCTGTGCATTCCCCTCATTGTACTGATTGTGCGTCGTTTTAACAGTGTTTATTTTCAGTCTATTTGGAGCTGGTTGTGCTTTATGTTATGTGAGATTTTAACAAGATCCTAAGCTATTTGAAAAGTGCACAACTTCACTACTTCTGGCTTTTTGGTCACCTTTTTATGTCTCTATGAAGCTGGTCGTGCTTTGCTGAGATGTCCTGCATTAAAGCTGGGGTACCTAACTATTTCCTCTCATATGAATAATACATGACAAAGGTCAGAAAAGTTAAAAGATTGTGAGTAAACCAGACCTTGCCATACCCTCTTTGTCCAATTACAAGACTTTGAGTTACTTTTTAATGCTTTTATCAGATTGGCTGAGTGAGGGCGGTTCACTTTTATTTATTTTTCTGTCTTTAAAAACTTATTTCAAGATGTGAGAGAGGCAAAAATACATGCGTGTGAAAACTAGGGATGGAATACAACTGTTTTGTTAGCGAGGAACAAGTTTTTTAATATTTGTTTTATAACTAATTACTTGCTTGGTTGGTTTTAAATATTTGTTTTGTAGCGTAATACAATATGTTGAATTAACGTAGGAAGAAGGGGTGGGATTTAAGCCATTTTAACCATGTTCAAATAAACTTTCATGCATTCAAAGTTAGGTACCCCAGCTTTAAAGTGCACTAACTCACTTTCCTGGTGGATGTTTTGTCTCCTACTTCTCTCTGAGCCGGTAGTTATTTGCTTAGATGTCTTGCTTCACGGTTTTGAATGGATGGCCAAGCTACAAGTCAGATCTGCAGATTGTTTAACCAAGCCGAGTGTCCTTTACTGTCATTCACAACCGTTGTACTGGATGTTTGCTTTTTTGCCGAAGAGAAAGGAAGAACATTTTGTCCTAAAAGCAGCAGCGGTTTGTTTTGATAAATGCTGAAATTGCAAAAAGGACACAGGGAAACAACAACATATATTACTCCGACGGTTGTGTTGCGAACCTAAGCCCTTTGATTTCTCCACCACCAGTCGAGCGCCGCCACTGCCGGTTTATATATTGGACAGGACTTCTAATATTAATAGCAGCTGCTCCGGCAAAGTCAAACGGGACATCAGCAATCTCAAATTACCACTGTGTGCACAATGTAACAACACACAGTTTGGCTGGGTGGGCTAAGGTTGCACTAAACATTACTGGAATATGAAGGAGCGAGCGATTAGGATTTCTTAGAGGTTGGATTGGACGGATTGAAATGGTGGTTTTTTGCTGGTTTTGATAAGCGCTGTGAAGGCAACGTAAAGTTCACAAACGGCAGCAGTGCTATCTCTGCCAAGAAGAAGATAGTAATCAGCTCCATCTTGTTATTGTGGGTCTGATTATAGCTCCAGGGCTGTTTGTTATTGAATTGTACAGATTGTAAATTTGGGTTTTTGTTGTATTTTGTTCAAGATACCTGGTCTGAATGGTTGTATGTGGACTTGTTGTATTTATGTCAATGACAGAGAGAGACATTTAGCTACAGATGCACTATGATTACCATGTCTTTTTAGCATGGAAATGATCATGTTTGCTGCATCGTTTCTTTTTTAAGTAACACACACAGGAAAACTCAGATGCAGGAAAATATTATGGACATTTTAAAGAAATAATTGTTTTGGCCAAGCACACACTCTGCTCAAATGATTACATACCAGTTTTGTATAGTAAGTATAGTAATAGCATAGTCACAATACAATAGTTTCATAGTTTGACTTTTCCTCCAGAGCATATTAGTCCTCATTTATCAACATAGGCGTGAAACCGACATATTTGTTGCTTATATTTTCTCCATACGTCAGTGGGAGCATGGTATTTATGAAGATGTAGGTCAGACGCAAATTTGTCCAGTGCTACTCTGCTGCAGGAGTGTGTGCGTCTGGAGCTTTAGTTTCAATATAGTTGTGACACAATTATTCAAACTGGACTTTAACGAGATTTTTGACGAACTCTACAGGACATAGAGGACAGCGCAACAGGACTATACAATTAACAGGGTTGTGTGAAAGATTACGTTGAAAAACCACCACCCTTCAAGCTGTGGCAAGCTTTCTCTTGTTTGTGTGTGTGTGTATTTGCACTATATCTGTTTTTGTACTGTTTAATCGAGCAATGTGAAGCGCTTCATGACCCTGGTTTGTATGAACATATATATAGTTTTACCTTATCTGTTGAGTTGTCTGAAGGTTTTTTCTTTTAAGGTTGCGTTTCAGTCTTCATGATTCGTTTCAATGATAAGATCTGAAATATATATATATTAAAAAAAGCATTCCATTGTGGTCCAACACAAGAGAAATTCAAGTTTAGAGCCTAATTTTTCCCGTTCGCTCTCCTCACACACACACACACACACACACACACACACACACACACACACACACACACACACACACACACACACACACACACACACACACACACACACACACACACACACACACACACACACACACACACACACACACACACACACACACACACACACACACACGCACACACACAGACCTTTATAAATGATGGCCATTGTGAAACAGCCTTAATCACTTGTACTTACTGTAGTATAAGATGTAGGCAGCTGATATGAAAGCCTGCTTTAGAAAATGGAAATCACTCAATTATGAATATCCTGAAATTCCACATAATTCTAAATCACTATTCTACAATTTACTACAGTAACACAAAAGGGCATTTTCCCCGATAATCTCAGTTGTGTGCTCGCTGCCTGTCCAAATGGATCACTTTCTCCTGCACATCTGTTTGTGCCTTCATGCTTTCTGTTACCCCATTACATCACTTTGTAACCGGAGTCGCACACAGCTTGGAACAGCAGTCTTTTAGGCATAATTACTTAATTTGTGTTGGACTTTGTGAGCTATTATTTGAAATCCAGCTTTAATGCTGCGCTTGCTAACGACTTGGCTTCTCCCACTCACAGGAAGCAGGTTGAAATACCCCACACTTCATCGGTGCGAGCATTAGCAGTATCTTATCCTGCTTCTTTGACTATATTTCCAAACCTCTCTCTTGCCCGTTTGGGTTTTTTTCCACCCCATTTTTTCTCACAGTCCTGGTTCTTCCCATTGCCGGCACAGCTGGAGGAAATGGGAAGCACATGATTGCGGATTAATCCCTGTTTAAGTCCCGGCAGCATTAGGCAAAGGCAGATCATTCGGAGCGTCCCCGGCACACAGAGAGAAGAGCCCCTGGAGTTGTTTGGACAGATGTTTGCTCAGAAAAGCTCTAATGGTGAAGCTATCGGAGTGGACCAAAGGGGAATGGTGTCACTCATGTGGGAGACGACTCCAGAGGGATTCTGATGTTTATGGATGTACTGTATGGATGAAAAGTGAACGCGAGGGGCTGGGGGGGATGTCACAGAAAGTACAGGCAAAGTTTCCAGCCCTGTTCTACTGTCACTCGGCTGATTGAGCTGTCTGCAAATTGATTTTCCAGCTTGTATCATTTGAAAGTAAAGACCGCCGTCAAAGCATTAGGTTTAAATACTGTATCTATGTCGGTCCATTGTGGATTCTTTTGGGCCAATACCACTCAATGATCTATACCAAATAGGTATAATAAGTATTCAATCTCACAAGCAGTGAGACCTGGGAATGGCACATCAACTAGTGGGACAGCATAGATCTAAAATCCAATCCTGGTGCTAAATTCGATTCCATTCAATGTATTTTTATCGCCCCAAAATCATAGCAGAACTGGTCTTAAAATACATAATAGAATTTCACACATCTAAAACACCCTCCAATATCAGCATTTAAAAGCATGTACAGTATTTTCTCCGGGGGGGGGGGGTATGCTGTTCTGCCCAGTTCAGAACAGCATTGAGTAAAGAAGAGATTTATAATTCTAACACAGTCGGTATTTGCCCTTTGTAACAGAAATAATGTGAAATATGTATACAGTCTAGATTTTATATAAATGCTATTATATAAGCACAAAAAGTGGTCTTCAGTGTTCACCATTGTCCACTGCGACGGTGCAAGAGCGTTCACGAGCGTGCTAATATGAGAGCACGCTGCGACTTCCCGGCTAATGTAAAGATAAACAGTGGGCTGGTTTTATTAGATTAGCCTTGTCCTTTAGTAGCAGTGGGCTAACCAGCTTAGAGGGACATAAACGCTATAGACGCTCGCCGGCCTCCTTCGTCACATGAGAAAGTGCTAAGCGGCCGTGCTGAGTCATGTTACCTTGGAGACCGCTGAATTGACAAGATTAAGAGCATCACGTGCGTCTCGAGACCGAAGATGAACATCCTCTTTGTTTCTGCGGCAACATATAACGAGATCATTCACACGGAATAATATCCTGATTGTTTCTATTTTAAGACTAGTACAAACCCACCGGACAATCTGAGAGAATTACACTTTGTTATGAATTTGACAATAAATGAATTTGACATTAGCAACAACATTATTTAGCACATTTTAGTTAAAAAAGTAAGACATTTAAACATACAAGTCTGCAAGATTTAGACATACGATCATATAAAGAATGAACTATAGATGAGCAATACATGAAATATTAAAATGTATAGAATAACGTTATTGAGAATAAAATTAAATTAAAGGTAAATTCAAATGTAATTTTATAAAAATAGGGATAGATAGATCAATTCTTTATGAGTCCCACAAGGTTGAGGTTTCATCGGTCGCCAACATATCTATACATACAATCGTAAATAGTAAGAAAAACATTGAAATACTCTTAAACATGTAACCCAGGACTGTACTTTATTGACATTGCAATACGTAAGACCCATTTTTCACACATTCACAGACATATATGCACATTTGTTATTGAAGAAAAAAAAAGTGTGTGTTGTATGCTATGGAACCAGACGGGGATATTTTAGAAGGTGCGTTTTGCAGCAGGAAGGGTTTTTTTTTTTTTTTGCACAGGGGGTGGGGG